TGTTTTGGGGATACCCAGTACAGAGATGTGATGTCATCATGTCTTCCCTCTGTGTGGCATCCAAGGGATAGCCTGACCCATCCAGTCCCACTGCTGCTGGCATTCTTGGAAGAGCTGTCTCATCCAGGATGGCTGACAGCATATATGCCTCACACACAGTGTGGGATGCTCTCACACACAGTGCCACATATGAAAGATCATAAATGGCAGTTCAGTTCTGCTGTGCCATGGGAATAAAGCAAGAGTCTACCACCAATGCTGCAGATTGTTTCAGTGGCAGGTAATTGAGTAAATACGTAAGATTCTTGGAAGCAGGTTGAGCCCCAGCATAAGGGTTGACCGGTTTAACCAGAATCTGAGACCTGGATACACCAAACAGGTTCTTTAAAGGTTTTAATTGATGCTGGCATCTGCACCCTGTTTGCATCCTGTCTCTCACTGTGGCAAATCAATAAGGTGATTTTCTTCTTGATACCTTGAGCAAGAGTGTTTAAAGCCCTTTAGACATTTTATTACATGTAATGTTCTTATGAGTCTGTAAAATGGAGGATATCAATCCTGAGTTTTGTAAAGGGGTTTGTAAAAGTACTTGTAGAGATGAAAAATTCTGTATAAAATCAAGTATGGTTATTTTATCACAAATGTCTAAAGCCTTTTTGAATTCCATTAAGCTCTTGGCTTCTCTATCCAATGACAGTGAGTGCCACTGGTTAATGCTGTACTGTGCAAAATGAGATGCAAAAAAAAATTTTAAAAGGTTGTTGCTTTGTGGAATGTCCTATAATTCGCTGGTTTGTGAGAGCTGGAAATAAGAATGAGAGATTTTCTTTTTATTATTTCATATAACTCTTCTCTCTTAGGCCTCAATGCTCTCTAATCTAAATGATCCCCTAACATTTCAGATATCTTTTATGGAGTCTTTTAAAATCCATGATATTTTTTCCTCTGTCTTCTATGTCCTCCCTTTTTCTTCTGTATCTCTTTTTGTGATGGGATATCCAGAATCCAAGATGAGGTTGTGCTTTCAATTTATAGAATGGCATTTTCATATTTTTAATGTTTGTCTATTTCCCTTTCTTAAAACAGTCAGCTTGTTGGAGTTTTTCTGATCTCTGCTGTCTACTGTGCATTGAGCAGGTGCCTTCACTGAGCTGTCCACAACAGCAATGTGATGCAAGTGTTGGGAGGTTACGGTTACGTTAGAGCTCATCAGTGTACCCAGGCAGGATAAACTGCACCCTCCAGTAAGTGTAACCTTGCGGCCGTCTATGCTGAGGGTGATCTGCCAGTCCATTGATTGTTCTCCTATCTTTGGCAGGGACTTGGCAGAGCTTATTTTTCTGTAGTGGTGAATAATTTCTGTTGTATCTCATGGAAATTTTGTTACTGCAGTGTTCTGTCCTTTGCCAGATCATTAGCAGGGAAATTAAACCTTGGTGTAAGAATGTGTGTAATGGGACACTCTGCTGTTTGGTTTTGACAGTGATGCAGGTCAGCCTATTTATAGTAGAGAGCTCCTTCTGCCTTGTGGGTGCTACCTGGACCTGTTCCCCTTTTCATGACATTTCTCAGTGTTTCCAGTGCTAGTGGAGCTGCACTGGAAGTAACAACATTGCAAGTGCTAACAGAGAAAAGGCTTCTGCAGTATCACCTAATCTAAAAGAGCTCAGAGGAGGCTCAAATGAAGCTGTGGTAAAAACATCACTGAATGTTGCGACCTTGCCCTAACTAAAGAGTCCCCCACTGCTGCTGTCTGTGAATGCTGGCCTTGGTGTTGCAGAGGGGGAATTCTGAGCTGGAAATGGAATAAAATAAGCAAGTGATGTTCTTCTCTGATAATTATGCAGTTTTCTTTTTACACTTTTTGAGGGAATTTACTGAAAGCCATTTGAAAGTCCTGGTAAATATATCCCTTTTCTACTGACCATTGCAATTGACATACAGTATCTTAGTTGACTGCTAACCTTGTTGGCTTTTTTTTTAGTCATAACACATTTAGCTAGATTATTTTTAGTACTTTTTATAATTATGTTCTCAACTAATGTAGCTGATACAGAATAAAAGCTTGTAGGACTAATTTTCCAGATTACTGTGGATTTTTCTTGAAACCAGGGCAACATTTGCTCCCTTTCAGTCCTCTGGAAGCTAACAGTTTGCATGCTCAATCCCCTTTTTCATAGAATCATAGGGGTTGGAAGGGACCTTGAAAGATCATCTAGTCCAACCCCCCTGCCAGAGCAGGACCACCTAGAGTACATCACACAGGAAGGCGTCCAGGGGGGTTTTGAATGACTCCAGTGAAGGAGACTCCACAACCTCTCTGGGCAGCCTGTTCCAGTGCTCCGTCACCCTCACAGGAAAAAAATTTTTCCTGATATTCACCTTGAACCTCCTATGCTCCAATTTGCACCCATTACCCCTTGTCCTATCACAGGTCATCACTGATAAAAGCTTAATTCCATCTTCCTGACACTCACCCTTTACATATTTGTAAACATTGATGAGGTCACCCCTCAGTCTCCTTTTCTCCAGGCTAAAGAGACCCAGCTCCCTCAGCCTTTCCTCATAAGGGAGATGCTCCACTCCCCTAATCATCTTGGTAGCCCTACGCTGACTCTCTCCAGCAGTTCCCCGTCCTTCCTGAACTGAGGGGCCCAGAACTGGACACAATATTCCAGATGCGGTCTCACCAATGCAGAGTAGAGGGGGAGGAGAACCTCTCTTGACCGACTAACCACACCCTTTCTAATGCACCCAAGGATGCCATTGGCCTTCTTGGCTACTAGGGCACATTGCTGGCTCATGGTCATAATTTTTTTTATTATGGTTATTAGCATCTTGGCTACTTTGTGAATTCGTCTGTAACTTTTATATGATTGAAGTTTTCAGTCATATAATATCAGGGTACTTTCTGGAGTTATCTTTCTTGAAATACTGTCCTGCAGAGTGTATCTCCATTGCAAGCAGTGATGGGCAGGCTTCTCGTCAGCATCCTGCCCCATGCCGGGAACTGCCTGCAGCAGGAGAAGGTGCTTCCTTTCCCTTGCTCAGGTTTCCCACCGGTGCCCGAGGCGGGGGCTGCCCGAGCTCCCCTCGAGGGCAGCTGGCCAGCCACCGGTGCCCTGCCCCTGCGCCCCTGGCAGCTGTTGTCCTCCGTGGGGAGCAGCGGCTTGAGGGCGGCTGTTGGAACTGTCTAAAAGCCGTTCCCCTTGAACGGGCTGCGCTCCTGGTGCTGTGACAAACTACCCAGCTGCTCTGGCTCTACCTCCAGCTGTCTTTCTCTTTTATTCCATTATTCCCTCCTTGCTTTTTTTTTGCTCTCTCATACTCTTCCACAGCTTCCTTTCCTTGTCCTCTTTTGGCCTGCTTTTGCCCCTGCCGCATGCAGGGGAGAGCAGGGAAGCAGAGGCTGGCTTGCTGCAGCAGGAGCTTTAACACTGGTGTGTGAAGTGCAGCACGATAACGTGGGAGACATCAGGCATGCTCGTGGATGTTATTTGCCGTCTGTGTATTTGCAAGTGCTTCTGAGCAGACAACGTGCTGGGGGAAGCTCGCTCGCCTAGTGTGAGTTGTGCTTGCCCACGTGTGCCCGCCTAGGAAGGGTATGTGTGTGTGTGCATGAGTTTAAGCTATCAAGTCCAACATGCTGAGCGTGAGACTTGCACGTTAGGCATTCGCCTCACGCTCCCGCAGGCCTTGTGGCTCAGCACCCACTCGGTCCCGACGCGTCCCCAGGTGTGGGACACCCGCCCTGCCCTGCCCCACCCCGCGGTGTGACAGCACTGCTTTGCCTGGAGGGCACAAAGAGCCTCTCAATGGGGTGGGGGCTGCGGTGGTCGTGCCCTTTTGCGGTGTTGTTCTTTTCTGCCACACTGAGGGTTTTGGTGGAGACCCCCACCACAGGATCTTGGGCAGATGAGGTCTGCAGACACAGGATTTGACCTTTAATGACTTCTGACACAGAAGCCAGAGGAGTTAGGAGCCTCTGTGCAGGTACATGTCAGGCATTAACAGGAGATTGGTGCAGAATTATTTTCTGTCATTGATTTGCCTAGATTTTATTAATGTATCAGGGTAAACTTATCTGGAGTTTATTAAAGAATATTGAGTATAGCTGTGTACTTGGCAGGAGGCTTTTCTAGTGAGAGTAATAAAAGCAGAATAAATCATTGTCACTGAAGAATGTGGTGGCTGGTCTGTTGTGGAGAGGCAAAATGAACCTCAGGAGCTGAAACCCAGACCAGACAAGTGGTTGGTGATGGGTTTTGTCATTTGGTGGCTGTATTTTGACCAGTATGAGCAAAACTGGCAAGTCTTCTAATTTTTAGTTTCTAAAACCACTGCAGACTTTGTTGGCAGTGTAGGCAGTAAGAACAAGACCTGGCTGGACTGAAGTGATGTAATTTCCCCTTGTAGTTTGTCAAAGTGAGATGAGGATGATGAAGGACTTCTCACATACTGTCCTCCTCACTGCCAAATAGGCATATGTAATTTTGCTTTTTAACAGTCTTCTTCCAAGTTCCTGGAAGTTTCTGGGGTGGTATACATGGTTTCCTTCTCCCTTTAATTCATCACATTCACACTAAGAGCTTAACATACCTGATTGTGGTCCTGACATTTGTCTTTTGACTAGAGGTTCCCAAACTATGCATCATAGCAGTGAATCACAGTGACAAACCAATGCTGCCTTGTGGCTATACATCTTACTGTGCAGGGATGGAGCCCTGGACAGAGTCCAAAACTAATGTGCTGTCACTGATCATTGTGCATGCTCAAACAAGTGTCAAGGCCTTTTAGGGAGCCTTGTGCCAGTCTGGTTCAGCCCCTCTGCATCAAGCCAGAGACCTAATACTTAGCTGACACGTTAGATGAAGATGCCCAAAATCAAGAAAGGAAATCCTGGGTCTGTTCAAATTCAGGACAAATAGGAGGTACCTGTGTGGCCACGTGCATGTAACAGACAGCAGAAGGGTTGGGCTGACGTTCTGGTCTCTCCACAGGTACACCTGCGCTCTGCTGAGCGCCTCCGGGAGCTGTGCTGCGCCAACCGAGGCACCTTCATCAAGGTGGGACAACACCTGGGGGCACTGGACTACCTGCTGCCCGAGGAGTACACCCGCACCCTCAAAGTGCTGCACAGCCAGGCCCCGCAGAGCACCAGGCAAGAGATCGAGCAAGTTATCCGTGAGGATCTGGGCAAAGAGGTAGGGGTAGTCATGGTCCGTTGGTTTCTCAGGCCTCGGCAAGCCCTGGGCAGCTAGAGAAAGGAAAACAGGAACAAAGAGACCCCTTGTGGCTCTCAGTTGCAAGAGATACCAAGGGGAGGTCCTTCTTCCTTGCCACTGGGAGAATGCCATAGGAATTTTCCCTCTCCATTGATAGGCATTATTGGCAAGCTTAGGAAAGGAGAAGATAATAGAGGATTAAGGGTGTGAAAGCTGCCAGGTGAAAATGGCAGGTCTCAGAAGAGCAACATACCCCAGAGGTTATGCTGAGACCAACGAGGTTGCTGGAGGTCAGGATGGAGGGCAGTCTGCCACACTGAGGGGTGGGAGCTGGAGGTGTTGATGTTCAGCACAAAGATGCATTAGTGAGCTCTGTGAGGGATGACTGCTCTCCCCTGGCTGCTCTAGACCAATTCCAGCTAGCACTGACAGTGCTTTACTTTCTGAAGCCCCTAATTAACCCCCAAAGAAAATAATAGCATAAATCACTTTTGGTGCTTGCAGTCAGGTAACGCAGTGGCCCAGGAGTCTCTGTCACTATTAACACTCAGCAGGCCACAGCAGTGAGATCAGAGGTAAGTGCCTGTGTTCATTAGATACAAGGGAGGTAACTGTAGTATTTAGAGAGGGTGTTCTTTTACTTTGCATCTTGCCCCTGAAATGCTGGGGTCTGAACCCCGAGCACCCAAATTAAGGTTGACATATGGGTGATTCCCACAACCCTTCATACAGAGGTGGTGAGTTTGCCTTATAGCTCCCCCCCGGGGTCCAGCCAGCCCTGCAGGGAGAGCCATAAGGGGAATGAGCCCCAGGGGTCCCACATTGAGTTGACAAAGGTCAGGCGTCTGCTTGGGGATAAAAGCTGGGACCACTGGCAGGGAGTCAGGAGTGTCTGTCTGTGGAGGGCACTCCACAGAGCTTCCTGGTTCAGGGCAGACCTCCTGACTCTCCTGGAGCTGGTCCCCAGTCTGTTTAGACCTTTGCAAACGCGGGTCGATCGGGTGAGAGTCACTATGTGGGCACCTTTCTCTTACGTGTTCAGCTTGCTGGTCTGGCTGTTTCCCATGCCAGCTGTGGGCAACCTCGGGTCTCTGTTTGTACCACCTGTTGTGGGCCGAGTTACATCCTTTGTGAGATCATTGGGGGTGGTGTCAATTATGTACCAGCTGATTGATCTGTTTGTACCCCCAGCGATCATTCATGGAATGTCCTTCTTGTCTACAATACAGTCTGTGTATTGGTTCATCTTCCTGCTGGCTGTATCATTTTTGTTGGGCCTGGTCATTGGCAGAACAGCCCCTTAGAAGAAGAGGCCCCTTCACACTCCAGTGCAGGTTGAGTAGAGGCATTGCAAGGATCACAACTAACGTTGTGAAAGGGAGGTGGGAGGCAACAATGTGCAAAGGTAGTGGTGGAGAACATGTGTATGAGGAGGAGGAAGACAGGAGTTTGTAGAAGGGGAGCAGTATGTACATCTGCTGTTGCTCATATATGGTTTATGAAGCTGTTTTGGGTTTCTCTGAGCTGTCTGACTGTGTGGTAAGGAGGTGTGGGCGGAACCTTTGGGATTAAATCAAATATTTGCTCTTGGTTGGTATGTTATGTGTAGATTTGGATGGAATATGTAGTCTAAGGGTCTAGGTATTGTTTAATAAGGAATGACAATTAGTATTTCCCTGCAGTTTAGTGGCAGGATTAATGTCAGTCTGTGACCTGCCAGATGCTCCCTTTCTCAACACTGCACCGTTGTAGCATGGCTGATGCCGGCTGTGTTTCATGGCTCAGGGGTCAGATGGAGCTGGGCAGGCTGGCTGCTCCCTGCAGACCCCTGCTGCTCCATGGGCCTCCATCCTGCAGCTTCCCAGCCACAGGAGCCATGGAAAGCCACCCCAAAGTTAGTCCACGTTAAGTTACACAGCGGCTGCCTCTGTCTGGGGTTTTGTGGTGTCTCCGGGAGGCTGAGGCAGGTGCTCCTGGGGAGGCCCTACTCTCTTGTGTGTGCTCAGCTGCCACTGGTTTCCTTCAGCTTTCTTGGAGCTAGACACATCCACCATGCCTCATTGATTCCCAGTGAGGCAGCTCGAATCCAGTCTCCACAGCAGCCTTCCCTCTTAGCCTTCACTTCACCCACATGGGTGGTGCTGGGCAGTATTTAATTTTAAGGAGACGGAGGGGAAAAAAAAGGTAGAAATGGGAAGAAAATGATAGAGAGGAGATGCTAATGAGAGACAGAGAGTGATGATAAAAGAGAGAAATGAAGAGAATGACACATGTAAAAATAAAGGAGATGGTGAAACTGGGCAGTATTAAAAGCTGAAGTGAGTGCCGATGTCTGTCAGCTACAAGGTACCAAATCATGGTATTTAAAAACAAAAATTATGTGAGGAATATAATACACCCAAACTGTCTTTGCTGGGGCCTCAGGGATTTAATGGGGTTACTTCAGGAACAAACTTCATTCCAGTGTAGCTACATCTCCAGTACATTTAAAATATGATATCATTAGTTGAAATACAGATGGCAGAAGGGCAAAGTGGAGTGTCAGGGCAGAAGAGAGCACAAAGAGGGATACTGAAGCCTTCACTCTTGGGGCCAGCATCACACCTGTGAGTTTCAGATTAATTCAAATGAAAGAGAAAATGACAGTGTGGGAACCTTTCCAGGGCACCTAGGCCTCACCCTGCTGCTCTCAAATTTAGTGGTAAGATGTCCAGTTCCCCCATCAGGTGAAAGAGGAGACTCCTCGGATGAATCTCAAGTGTAGGCAAGAAGTCATTACATACAGTTTGGATCAGTGCAGAACAAATAGGAGAAATAGCAACTGGAAATACAGAGATACCTATGGAGGAATGTGGCATGCTAACAAATTAGGCAAGAGCTTGCAAAAGGGCACTAGGATTAAAAAAAAAAAAGCCAGTTTTTTGTATAGAAACACTGTGTATTCGGTCATCTAGAAACAGACTGTCTTCTGATGTGACCTATATGAGGGAGTAGGTCATCCAAGCCTACCAGAGGCCTGGATGTTTGACAAATGGAGTGGTTTGGGGTGAAAACAGATCTAAATGGAGACCGTGCCAGTGGGACTGACCTTTGAGCAGACAGAAGTCTTGTGAGCAGTTCAGCGTGGCTCTGTTGTCACCACGCAGCCTTGTGTGACACCCTGCTGATGGGGGATTTCCCATTCTTGATCGGCAGCGTGGTTGAAGACTGAGAGCTGCAGCATGTAACTCTGCTGCATGGGCTAATGGCCTGATATAAGGGCACATGGCATGTGTGCTGATCTGACACAGAAGGAGAAGCATCATCTACGCTGACCAATGGGTTGCCCTGTCAAAGCCTGTTTTAAGTCTAGGGGGAATCTGTGTACCTATCAGGGATCATTTGGATAAAAATTATCAATAGTGAGCAGATGCTGTTTTTCTAATCTCAGCCACCGTGATTCGGCTTAGTGATGGTGGGGGGTGATCATTCACTTGAGTGTTGTATGCAAGAGCTTGAGGTGGGGAACAGGATGATTAGGGTGACACAATTAATGGCAGTGGGAGGGGCTGCACAAAGAAGTCCTTACAATGACCACCAGGAAGATTATAGAGTCTTAGGGAGGCAGTGGAGATACCACAGGCTGGGCTTGTTCTGGGTATGTTCCTTGGAGCAGTTGGGAAAAATTGTCTGCATAAGTGTCCTGGTTAGAGGGCAGAATTGTGTTCCCCCTCCCTTATCCCTTAGTTTTCCCAGATAGAGAGATAAACAAAGGAAGGCAGGGGTAATAAAAGTTTTACACCAATTGAAAGTTAACAAAAGTGAAATATATTATTTAACAGGGAACAGAAAGGAAGAAGGGTAGGGGTTTAACAGGGTAAAGGGATTATACGAACAACAAGACAAGGAAGGGTAAACTTCCAAAAATACAAAATCAAAGTGCTGTGCTGAGGCTCCCCAGTACTGGATCTCGCTGGATTGAGGTGGATTGAAGCTGGATGTGGATGGAGGCAGGGAATGAGTCTGTAGATCAGGCCCAGGACCCAGGATGGCCACCGCCATGTGCAGCACAGGGAGCAGCAAACAGCAGCAGAGCAGCATATCTCTGGCCAGGATCCCAGCAGAGAGAGAGGAGGGGGTGTGTCTTCCCTCTCCCTTTATAGACCCCAGCAGGAAGTCCTGAAGACAGGAAGAGGGGAGTGGGAATAGAACAGGTCTCTGCCTCTCCATTCAAGCCTGCTCCTGGTTTTAGATTTCAAATCTCCACCCACCAGGAGCAGCAGATACTTCAAACCATCACATAATGATGAGAGATGACTGAAAGAGTTTCTCCTACGTCACTTTTCACAGAATCATAGAATCATTAAGGTTGGAAAAGACCTCTAAGATCATCAAGTTGAACCATCACCCAACACTACCATGACCATGGGGTTTGCGTGTCCCCAGGTGCCACATCTACATGTTTTTTAAACACCTCCAGGGATGGTGACTCCACCAGCTCCCTGGGCAGCCTGTTCCAATGCTTCACCACTCTTTCAGTAAAGAAATTCTTTCTAATACCCAGTCTAAACCTCCCCTGGTGCAACTTGAGCCCATTTCATCTCATCCTATCGCTAGTAACCTGGGAGAGGAGACCAACATCCATCTCACTACAGACTCCTTTCAGGTAGTTGTAGAGAGCAATAAGGTCTCTCCTCAGCGTCTTTCTCTCCAGACTGAAGCATCTACCTTGCTTGAACAAGGTTCTGAAAAACAAAAGGTGGAAAATAAAAGTGAAACAAGTATGTTACTTAGCCCACAATTGTTATTATGTCTGCAGAGCTGTTAATGACACAGGGAGAGATCATGGGTTCAGCTAAGCTCTCTAACTCAACGTGCAAGCAGAGCCAGGCAACTTCTGGTGAAACATGGACACCAGACATCTAGGGACAAAGACTGAGAGGCTCTTGAAGATAAGTCTTTGAGTGGCTGCACCTAAAAAGCACAAAATCATTGTGCTT